TACAATATAATTTATTCAGTCTGCGTGATCATCATCATAGAATTGTTCATGTTGTAAGGAGTACTCCGGCGGCGAAGGGATTAAACCGTGTTCTTTCCCGGCGGTGAAGGGATTAAATTTAAACCGTGCTCATGCTCGTACTGTCATTCTGCATTATAAGGAGTAAGAAACTTTAACTTTCAGTGATAACCTTACGTCCTTAGAACCAATTGTAACGGCTACCTAAACCTTGAGTAGTGTACACTCTACATTGTACATTACACATTAGCAATAGCATATGTTTATTGGTTTTATAAAACAAGGTACGATGAATGTTGCTTTGTTTAAAGTGGGCAATGCCAATACTAATAAAAACGAGTTGACGTGTCCTAATCTGTAATCATCATTGGATGACGGTTATATTTTTTATAAATCTCACGGCTTAACCACCCTCGATCCTTTCGCTATACCTTATTGGAAAAAATTTCGAGGAAAAGTTTTTCACGGACCAAATTTTTCACGGAACATTTTTGGTGATCTTTTTAAAAATGAGGTAAAAATAAAATATAATAAATCGTAACAAAATGCTGTAGTATAGGATAAATCCGGGCTCTTACTAATTCGCTCGCCCAAAAATTTCACGTGACTTTGGTTTTTATGCAGTTTTGCAGCCGTACAAAACGATTTTACATAAACCCTAATCCCGGAACCCAACCCTAACCATAACTCCGAAGCTAACAATAACCCCTACCACAACCCTAACCCTAACCTGAGCCCTAAACAATCGAATTCATGTTTTACTAGCCTGTCACGTGACCAAAACGGTTTTTTGCCCATAACTCTCCGTGGAAGCATATTTACCCTGTAGGGTAAAAATTTGGTTTTTATGGTTTTGCAGCCGTAAATTCACGTGAATGTACGGCAAAACCATATAAACCAAAGTGAAATTTTTGACGTCCGCGGAGTTTCTCGATGTAATCCGATTTATATGACCCTAAATAACACTAATTACTCGGGTACACTTTTTCACCGGTGGGGCATTTCTCGGAATCACGCCCTTTTTGACCGCACCCATATCGCGACCCCCACTATAAATTATCTCGGCTTCTGATCGAGATACAGACCTCTATTATGAACCAAAACACAAAATGTGCCTAATTATAGTAGAGGCTCTTACGGGGATTTTCTGCTCGATACACTAAAATTTGCTCTAACCAGAGCCCTCTCGCTTGCAGTAGCGCACGACCGCCGTAGGCGGCAAAGGATATATATTCAACTTGTGAAACAAGCGCGTCACGCAATACGCGTATACACATGTAGGCAGTGCGCCATCGACTGTAAGACGCGCGCGCTGACCATTGAATGATTTTTTAGCTCTTATTTCGGCCAGCACATTATTTCGGAAACAATCAAAAAGTTATAATACTTCCCATATAACAATTTGGTTGAAATTTGGTCAGCGTATGTAAACACTTATGTTTTACTGAACCTAATTTAGTTTGAGCAATTTCGATGGTCAGAATTTGAGTTATCAACGGATTTATACCTATTTTGTCATTTTTAGACCACTTAATCAAGGCCAATCTCTCCCAACTAAATTAGGTTTGGTAGTTAAGTATGATTGGAAGGTTCTGACAAATTTTCAGCATGATTCATGTTCAGGAACTGAAGATATGATAGAATAATACGACAAAAATCAACGAATTTCGTCAAATTACGCGACTTTTACACCTAATTTTGCTCCAAAAGCCGCGCACCATCAAATTTGGCACCTAGGCGAAACTCACTGATCATTCCAAAAAGGTATAACAAATTTGGTATTGTGAAAATTCTCACAGTCTCTAGAAAACAATGGTACAAAAATTTTGAAAATCCGAGCAAGTTTATTTTTATCGTGCACCCCCTAACACATGGCTATGTGAACACTAAAATCACCTGCAGACCCATCTTAAAAAACGTATTTTTTTCGTTCACACCCTTTTGTAAAAAGGCACTAGTGAAAGGTTACAAATGGAGGTTTTTGCAGAAAAACGTGGATTTTGGAGATTGCAGTAGGTGGGTTTGAGTATGTTGTATTCCTTCCGTTCGTTACCATGCAACGAAAAAACCGCGCGCGTGCGCGAAGATTGCTTGCAGGGGGTGATGCATAGATAGCCTTTGGTCAATGAATGTGCGGCGCCAGTGTATTTTAATGCTCGAAAAGTGGCATGCAACGTATGTATTGATGTGTACACAAGTATAGTTTACTTTTGCTTACAGTCTTTTGCATTTTAATTGAATTTCAAATGTTTCCCCTATTTAATGCATAATTTATTAATATTATTATTATGAGGTGAGCTGATTGGAGCTTATACTTAAAGTTATAGTGAATGGAAATCTAGCGTCCGCCAAAACAAAACAACGGGCGCAATTCTTGTTGACCGTAGAATCGATTAAAAGTGGTTTTGGACCAAAAAATGGCCTTTTTTTGAGATTTTTCAAAATTTTTTATAGGTAAACTTAAATTAAAAATTTAGGTGTTCTGGTTACTAATAATATTAAATGAGCCGCACATGTTGACATCAATGAAATAACAAAATTGATAATGGTAACCGGTCAAAATTTCGAAAAACTGTCCGAAAAAAAGTTTTTTGCGCGCAAAATTTTATTGGCCTCCTAAGGCAATATTGAACAATATTTTTGACGGAAAACTTTTAGAATACTGTTCAGTAATACTATTTAATAGTTTAACAGCGTGAAAACAAATTTTTACAGCGATTTCAAGAAAAAAAATTTCGCGGAATTGGAGACCAAAAAATTTAAAAATAAAATCGAGCGCTACCAAAAATTTTTCATTAACACACGTCCGTAATTCTTTTTTTTCTCTGCACGGTTTATTCAGTGTCCATGTCTCACGTCCATGTCTTGTTTGGGGAAGTTTGATATAACTGTGGTTAACAATGTTACATCAAGTACAGTTAAGTGGAGTAGAGTATAGTACTACTACTATACAATGGTTTTGAGATACCTATATAGTATATAAATATACCGATTTGGTATTGAGTTCCTTACAAGATCATTTCAATGTGATGCAATGGTAAAATGATTTATTACGTATTGATTGTGGGTTTGGATACATTTTTGGTTCACGATGCACTACCTAATGTGTAATGAAGGGCACTCTTGGATCTTGCAAGATTACAGATCGTTTGGCAGGGTTTCCTCACCCCTCATTATCAATTATCCGTGATGGATGAGGAGAATCCCTGCCCCAAAAAAGAATCTTGTAAAGATACCCTTTAGTACACATATATTGCTGTAAATGATATAAACAACCTACTGCTACTTTCTTTGCCAGATTTCAAGTAAATGTCCAAATACTACCTTGGATCCTAGAAAAGATCATTCCTTAAGGAGGCCGGGGGGGGGGGGGGGGGGGGGGTCTTCATTAAAATTCTCTCGAAATTGATTTTATAGTTGTTTCTGATAGAGGGGAGTGATATCTATCAGCTGATTTTGGTCCCCTGGAAAAATATTGTTCATAGCCAAACTTATCGCTGGTCAAAGGTCAGCGCTCATGTGTAATTGTATTGCGCGAGCGATTTTCAATCGCAATTTCTGAAAATCGAGTCTAAAAATCTATCTTCTCCTACATTTTTTGAGCAATCACCCTGAAACTTTCAGGATATGTTCTAGGGATCATTTAGAAGAGAAGTGTCGAGCCGAATTTTGACATAGGCCTTTAGGCAGTGGCGTAACGAAGGGCCCCGCTGACCCCGCTGTGCAGGGGGCGCCGTCTTAGGGGGGCGCCAAATCGTCGTTTGAATGTGGGACAATTTCGAAAACTTAACTAAAGTACTAGCAAAACTGCGCGTTTTGCTCTAGATACACACTTTTTTAGAGATTTTTACCGGCGTATCCTCTAAAATCACCTAATTTGTTCAATTTTAGGGAGGGGCACCAAAAGGGGAGGAGGCGCCAACAGGGGGGCGCCTTTTCGGCAGGGGGGCGCCAACAGGCAACGTTACGCCACTGCCTTTAGGCTTAGAAAATCTTTTATTCGATTTAGAAAATCTTGGACCTGGAAAAATAGTCAAAAAATTAGGTCCAAGATTTTTAAAATCGAATTCAAACATTGCTCCAGAAACTTCATGCGAGTTTCAAGATCTGAACATTGGAAACATTTTTCGGTAAATTATTGATGGAATGTGATAAAAAATGTACAAGTACATTTTTTATCACAATCCATCAATAATTTACCGAAAAATGTTTCCAATGAATCGTTCATGATGTTGAGTTGGTTGTAGATAAATAGATTGATTGAAGATAATTGAAGTCGATTGAAGTTGATTGAAGTTGATTGAAGTTGATTGAATAGATTTGATACCTCCAATTACATTACATTTTTGTCATGTTGGTCATTTTGGTCATACCTCAATAAATGTAATAGATTTGTAGTGTTATAATTAGTGTTATAATTAGTTTATATATTAGATGGAGTACCACACAGGTCAAAGGTATGCGGATGCTGTGGGATATATTAGGAAGCGCCTTCGGTTTGAAATCTTAAGAACAATGGTGATTTCTCTCTGGGGAGACAGAGGGGCGAGAAAGAACTTTGTCAATATAGACAAATAGACAGTTTAGATATATTTTTTCACATAGTGCAAGTGCGATGATATTTTGTAGACATGTGTGATGATGTGATGAGTATCTTAAGTTTAATACCTGTTGCTAAAAAACCTATATAGTAGTGGGAAACATAATTGATTACATTTTTAATGGGTCTTTGTTCCAAACATTTTAGTTTGATTTATGAATTTTGTAAAGCAGACCATGTTTTTGTAATCAAATATTTCTCAATTTTAAAAGAATAATATTATTATTCTTTTAAAATTGAGAAATATTGTTTACAAAAACAGCTGTTGGAGTTGTTGCAATTAGACTATTATTTTCAGTTTGCCTTTTCTTTGGAGTATTTCAAGTTGAATTGAACAATACCATGTCATCATCAAATTTCACTCAATTTCTCTGCCAGCTATGAGTGGTAGCAAAACGTTGGATCTTGCTAGGAAGGTCCCCATAACTAAACGAAACTTTATTCATCCTTGGCTGAGACTGAGAGTTAGATGGCATCATCGATTCAGAAAAGAGGTGTGTATAAATTTTGTTTGGTAAACCTGCTGTCCATTTAATATAAATCAAATTAGATACAATAATATGACTCTTCAATAGTTGCAATTTTGTATCGAAAACTCTTCAGGATTTCAGGACAATGGATAGACGTAACCAGGAGAATGCTAGATGGTTGTGTAGGCTCATTGAGCAAGATCGGCAGGAAACTACTGCTTATGTTGCTAAATGGGCAACAGTTGTTGGCAACCGAGTATGGATTATTTGTGAATTTCAATTGTGTTTTTGCTTATATTAATTAATTATATTAATTCATAATTACTTTAACCTTTAAATGCTGCACCCGACTAATATTCTGCCCTGGTCCATCACTAAAGTAAATCAGTTATTACTTGTTTTGATGAGAATGAATTACCTTTCAGGTTTTAGAATTAGCATTTTTAGGCCCTGAAGTGGAAGAAGCAAGAAAGGACATAGAGGATATTCTCTTCCTTCGGCTCAACAAGCATGTAAGTATTTTCATATATAATCACCCGATTTGAGGGAGATCCTTATATTCTTAAATTGAAGCTTTTCTAAATGCTTTTACATAAATTTGCCTTGATGGTAGTATGATAATTCTGCACTAATTCAAATTCACCATCCCTTTAGAGACAATATCACATTGACAAGATATACAATGAGCTAGTGCCCCAACTAGAATACGTGGATGGTGAACTCATCCGCACCCAGTTTGTTGGTTTTAATGGTCAGTTTTACTTCTCTTAACTCTGAAATTCTTTGTTTCACTAAAATCTTTGGTTTACTAATCAAGTACATATTATTACTCCCGACTTGTAGTTAACACAATTCTCTGATATGTCTCACTTCATCTCTTTCCCCAAAATTGTCGATAAATTCCTACAATAGTTAAAAGGGAACTAGGACGAACACCGATGCAACATTAAGACAACAATAAGACAACAATAAGACAACATTAAGACAACAATAAGACAACATTAAGACAACATTAACGCAACAAACACCAATAAGACAACAAACGATAAGACAACATTAAGACAACATTAAGACAACATTAAGGCAACATTAAGGCAACATTAAAGCAACAAATTCTTTTAAGACATCAGTAACAAACTTAATAAGGCAACAAATTATGTATAACACTATTTCTTCGAATATATTTTACTTTGTCAAATTATATTTTACTTCATCAACTGTGATCCGCGTCTTAGCTCTTGACCGGCAATAATTTCGGCTAGGAACAATATTTTTCCATGGGACTAAAAACAGCTGATAGATATCACTCCCCTCTATCAGAAACAACTGTAAAGTCAATTTCGAGAGAATTTTGATGAAGACCCCCCGGCCCCCTTAATAATCCTACCCTTTTAAACTGCGGCAGTGAAATCCCGGCCGAAGGGATTAAAAGTTAAACCGACTTTTAAAGGATGAGGGGACCTTAGAAAAAGTTTTTTTCTCGTGCAAATCCTTTTATTACATTAATCGTATAAACCACTTTAGTGAAATCCGCAAAGTTGTATTTCATTCGCGCGCCGAGATATCCAGCCAAAACAATTTGAACCTGTGACGTCAATTATGTGAGTTGCTCTGATCCGCGCATATAGAAATACAGGTAAAATGAGCGTGCGGGCCGACTAAATTACTTATTAAGAATAAATTAACAATTTACGATACTAACGAGCCTATAACCAATGAAGAGGAGACTTTTTGTGACCGGTTGAAAAAAGAAGAATTATCACCCTACGATAACCATGAGCCGAGATACACCTGGAATAAGATTGAAGTCACACAGAAAGGCATGTAAATTATGTATATTTATAGCTCCCAACATAACACCTAGCAACTCCCTGTTTCGTACCACAGTTGATATATCAACATGTCATATCAGCACAACACGGTCCTAATAAAAATGGATCGGGTAGGTATGAAATGCATGTCTTCATTCCAGTTGGACAAGCACAAGCACCAAGCTTTTAAGTTCTAACTCACTATGTGACACTACTTATAATGTAAGCAAGATTTGCAACTATTCAATGAAACAAGAAATTTTCAATGAAACAAGAAATTTAATTTTAGCACATTTTTACAGAATAAAAAGATGTAAAACAATTCATAAAATATAATGCCCATTTGGTGTATGACTTTTTGTCCTTGACTGCTAGTTTGGTTTTGGAAGGACAGGTAACTAACGGGGCAAGGAATGCGCGTGCCTGGAAGCTTTTGCACACACCGAAACGCTAGTTCAGTTAAGTTTATAGAGACAAGGCTCAGATTAGGACTAGAAGAAAAATTGTAAGCAGACATTAGGGGTTCTGTTTATAGTTGTTATTATAGGTTGCAGTCTTGTTGTGACAAAAAGTCTACACTAAAACATTCTTTGGTTTATATTGTGTAGTTCAAGGATATAAAATGCAGCTTCAAGCTTTCAAGGTGGATATTGGAGAGCTGGCGAAAGATTATGGCCTTTATATCAATGGTTATAATAAGCTATAAATATCTTAAACTATACAGTGCTAATTAAAATTTCTTTAAACTTCATTCTCAAATTAGATTTTTAAAATTCAAAAGTAAATATACAATAATTTTATTAAAACTTTCTCACACATACTTTACTCACAGGACAAGACTTGGAAAACAGTAGCCTAGGGTAATTTTAATTGAGATGTGTGTGACCAGCCAGTTATAATGTTTGGGAAATAAGATTTGCGCAGTCAAAATCTTTGACAGTCCAATCAAGCAGGGCGTGATTATGTTGATTCGTTAATAGCGCACGTTTTAGCTTACCTCGCAAGCACATTACACTAGTAGTAAAGTCAGTCATTCTGAATTTTGGGGTTAAAATGTTAAAAATTTTGGTTGATCTAGTGTTGTGATTGTCAGGTGGGTCTGCCTGACAGATTAGAAGGCAGGGTTTCCTCGAGGAACACGTGTAACCTTCATGTAAGGATATTGGAGCACGGAATTTCATTATCTTGTAGAGCTCGAGGTAACTGTGGTATGTATATAGATTGTGTATAGCTAGAATATTATTATGCTTAAATATCGGTTTGGTGTGCTCTTTTATGAAAAATTTTTGGTCAAGTTTCTGGTGTCCTATAGGCCTAGTACGTGCACAAGTCTTAAACTTATCAAGGTACGCCAGCCTGTCACCAAATAGTACTCTGAGACAGTACTTCTGAGCAGTAAATAATGAGCTTATACGTTGTTTCGCTGCCCCACCCCATACAGATATACAGTAGGAAAGATGTGATTCGAACAGAGTATAATATAATTGTTGGTGTAGAAATTCTGGAAGGGAGCAGCGAAGTCTACATAAAGTGGATGTGGAATGATTTAGAGTTCGCTTAAGTGCTTTGATGTGATCTTCCCATGATAGGTTCTCGTCAATTATAACACCCAGAAATTTTGCGGATGAAACCTTTTTGATTGGAAAGTTGTCTATAGTTAATACAACTTCAGGGTGTGATAAAGTCTCTAACTTAGAACCTGCCATGGTGGGTTTGAAGTGTATGTAGCAGCACTTAGACATGTTTATATGTAACTTATTCGCTCTCATATAAGACTTTAATGATGACAAAAGCTCATTTCCTCGTTCATATGCCTCACGTTTTGTTTTTCCGACAACAAATATATTGGTATCATCAGCAAAGGTAACAAATGATCCTAGTTTAGAACTGTTTGTGATGTCGTTCATATAAAGAAGAAATAGGAGAGGTCCAAGAATTGAACCCTGTGGGACACCAAATTGAATAGATAGGGTATCTGATTTTTCTCCTACAACTTCGGTGTATTGTTGCCTGTTTGTCAAGTAGCTTTTAATGAGGTTATTTGCAACTCCTCTCACTCCACATCCCTCTAGTTTTATAAGAAGTGTTGAATGGTCGATAGTGTCAAAAGCTTTGCTTAGGTCAATGAATATTCCTAAAACATGATTCTTAAGTTTAAGAGATTTCGTAATCAAATTTACAGAGTAATTGACTGCATGAGATGTAGAGTGAGATTTCCTAAATCCAAACTGCGTCTTCGATATAACTCCCTGGGAGCTAACAAATCCGTATATTCTAGAATATATGAGCTTTTCAAAGATCTTACCGAAGACGGACAGTGTGGAGATAGGACGGTAGTTCTCAATTTCTTCTGGGTTACCTTTCTTATATACAGGTGTTATTTTACCAGTTTTCAGGACATCAGGAAATATACCTTTGGTCATAAGGATATTGAAGTAATTCGATAATACAGGTGCGATTACATGAGATGACTTTTTTACTACACTTATGGGAATGTCACTGGCTTTACCATTTTCGAACTCGCTTATGATTTTCAATATTTCGTTTGAGGAGCAATCTTCTAGCCTAATATTTTTTTCATTTCTTGGGTTCAGGAAGTCATAGAAAGTTTTCATGGGTAATATAGGCAGGCCATCAGATAGATTATGCAGTGTCTCATTCAGCGTTGGTGCAATAGAGACAAACCAAGCATTGAATCCATTAGCAATTGCTCTTCTATCAACTATTCTTTGGTTATCAATGATAAATGGGGGCTTGGTTTGCCTCTTCTTTTTGCCCCTGAGTTCGTTAATAATTTGCCAGGTTTTCTTGCTGTTTTCACAGTTGTTTACGATTTCGTTACAGTAATGCCAACGTTTGGCAGCTTTAATGATAGCTTTGAGCATCCTACGATAATCACTAAATACTTGGTAGAGCAAGAAATTACCACCAGGGTTCTTATTAGTAACGGTGTCAGACCACTCCTTACGCAGTTCATGCTTTCTTTCTACAGACTGGATGATACTGTCTGTAATCCATGGGTTAAGTTTGGGAGTTCTTTTTGTCACTTTTGGTACCTCCAGTTTGCAGTGTTTGTCAAGTGTCTGGTCAAAACATGCCGTGAACTCATCAAATTTTGTTGAAGGAGTGAGCTGGTTTACCCTCACCTCAAGTTCAGATACAAAGCTTTTTAATTTGGAACTTGAGTAATCATAATAGCGGACATGTTTCTGAGGCTCTGTATTGCGAGGGGTCTCTACTGAAGTGAAGGTAAATATAGGGGCATGCTCACCAAGCCGTTCTTCAATAACACCTGATAAGACTATATTCTCAATTTTATTTGTTAAAATGTTATCGATGCAGGAACTTTTACAGTTTTGACGAAAATGTGTTGCAATGGAGATAGTCGGGTAAAAGCCATTTCTGTATAAAGTATCCTCAAAGAGCTGGGAACTGGTAGATATATTAAGTATGTTTGAGTTAAAGTCTCCCAACAAATTGACAGTTTTCCCATTTAGCTGCTTTGCAAGTAATTCAAGGGTTTCGCAAAAGCTATCAAAGCAGCCATTAGGGGGTCGGTAGATGACTCCATGAACAATTTTGCAGCCTGCGCTATCTGTGGTTTCAACAAAGAGACTCTCAATATTTGTAGTACAGTGTGATACATTTTCTAAGACCACAGTGTTTAAATGGTCAGATACATAGAGTGCAACACCTGTGCCTTTTTTCTTACCTGCCAATGTTTCTTGATAGAATCCTGTGTATGCTGGAATTTGGTACAGACCCTGCTGTGCAGGATCAGTATTGGTTTCAGCAAGACCAATCATATCAAACGAGTGCCCTATACTTTTGAGTTCAATTAGGAAGCTATCAAAGTTAGATGCGTTTCCATCTATATTGTAGAATAAAGTTGATAACATAGATTTTTTTGAGGAATTGAGCTGCTTGATTGCATTTAAGAACTCGAGTTTAGAGTAGCGACGGCAACTTTCAAGTATATGGGCATATGATGCAATTAAGGCATCCTCCTGGTTTCTATTATCATAGAATCTATCAGAATCAATAGATTCCTCATCAGATGGAAATGGGCAGTACCGTTCTTTGCAGACCTCGCAGCACATCCATAGTCCATTTTTGCATGAATATTTAGCTGATTTGAAACACTTAGTATGAATGGCATTATTACAGTTTTCACACTCTAGTAAAGGTTGTCCGATATTAATAGATCTACTGCATGGCTCACACACATCTTTAATAATTTTCATAATCATTTTTACTAAGTGGGGTTGTTAGACCCCACTGACTGGTTGTGTTTTCCACGTCTTGTCCGTTCTTGCCTCTCTCTCACATACACCCAATGCTTCACACACCTCACAAATTTGGTAATACCATAAACTCCTAAGTGAATATCATCACCACCTCTGGTCAGGTTGGTGGCAAGGAGTCCCTTGCCATCTAAAAAGTGTCCAACTCCAAGGTGCCACACACTCTGGTTAAAGTTGGCACTCAACATTTCTCCAACAAGCCGATTGAAGGTCATGACATTCTCGTTCATTTGAGGTAGCCTGGTTGGAAGGACTGCTGCTACAAAAACTTTGATCCTAGGGGAGAGCTTTTTTATCTGTTGGATTTTCATGTGGAGAATGTCAACCAGCTGATGGATTGAATTTTCTCCTCTAAGGCTGTCTGCTCGGAGGTCATTTGTACCACAAACAAGAACAGCGTTGCTGTATCCGATACAGTGACAAGGGTCAATCAAACTAACTTTGCTTGCCTTAACTCTTTCACCCGGGAATGATTGACCCATTGTTCCAGCACCACTACCAAACTTTATTGTTTTGGTGTTCGAATCTCCAAGTATGATGGTGCTTCTCCTAAATTTTTTGTCAATTGCTCTAAGGGTAATGGAATACCGGCCCATAGACGGGTTTACCGGAGTCTGTTGGGTGGGTTTAATCCCGTGTTTGAACCATGCCTGTGAGAAACGTGTCATGGTGTAGACTGAGTTCGATTCTAGGGACATTTCAGTATTTTTTGTAGGTGATTGTCCTTCATGGATGGGCATAAAACTTATTTTTCTAACTTCTCCTATGGAAATTGTTGCTATATCAGAGCCAGCAAGAATCTCTGGCTCGTCGTCACAGTGGAAGGGTAACATACTTTCCTCTGTACCACTTGGAGGGAAGTAGTTTATAAGTACAGAGTTAGGCTTGTGCGTGAGTTTACACTGAGAAGTGACTCTATCAATGGCTGCTGATAATACTGGTGGGATGGCTGGTGAGGACGGGGGATTTGAGTCTCCGGAATAAGTGTAGCTTTCGCCGTATTTGAGCTCTGACCTTCCATTCATCTGGTTAGCACTCAGTGAGAAATCTGGATACCTCGTCAAGCAGTTCTTCGTCCAAGATGTCTACTTGGTAGTCCTTTAACGGCACCCTTACACATTTAGGGAGAGCTACTGATGGTTTACTCTCTTGTATAACTGCTGCAGCATAGGCAGAGGTGGAATGATTCCTAGATTTCTGGAAGGAGTGGATCTCTCCACTCAGTTGCGAAAGTCTTGCTTCCAACGATGAAATCTCCACGGTAGGCATGCTGTAAGATACAGCACTTGAGATGGCATCAGATACAGCTTGGATATTCTTACTGTAGTCAACACTAGACTTGAGAGCTTCATCCAATTTAGCTGAGGTGCTGCTGTTTGGCTTGGAATGGATTGACGTGAAGCACCATGGACATTCCCAGTACTGAAGGATGGCATCAAGATCAATCTGACCAATCTGGTTTGCTCCCTTAAGGTTACTGCAAGAGGCGTGCCAATGCTGAGAGCACCTGCAACATTTGAGAAGCCATTCTTTGCCCTCAGAGCTTGCTCGACAGGGACAGTTACCTTTAATGGCACGTTGCTTTGGACTTGGCTGATCTTTTTCTTCTTCTTCAGTATGGAAGGGTGGGAACGGTTTGTACATAGGACTCATAGGGCTGTGAGGACTACCCCTTAGGCTGCCAGGGTCTATTATGAGGCTAGGACTAATTTTTAGGGTAAGAGATGTAGGTGGCTGTAATGTTGATAGTCCCGGTGAGGAAACAGTGACCTGCTTATCAGCTGACTTAGTTGGCAGGCTGTTTGATCTTCGTCGTCCTGAGATGCTGGCTGCAGGGTTCTTCTGATTGGCCTTGCTTGTGAGGGGGCTCTTCCTGCGAAGAGGATTAGACACTTTAGGGGAATGAGGTGAGGTAGCCTTAGCCTTAGCAGATGCTGCAGGAGAGTTGTTTCTGGGCGAGCGTCTGGTTTCGAGTGGTGGTGTTGCAGTTCTGTTCATGACTGTGGATTGATCAGGGGGATGTGCTGAGTGCCCCCTGGGCTGCCACCACCGGCGAATAAGCTGCACCTGAAATGAGTAGATCATGGGTGGACGTCTGATTTATAATGGAAAAAGGGAACATTGATTACTTAGAACTATTTAGTAACTAGTTTTTTCATTAGATATACCATAAAGAAGAATTGATTTCGATTGAAACATGATATAACAGTAAGTTGCTTTAAGGGTGGAGCAATATTATACCAAGCATAGCAGACGAACACATCCACATTCGTTACGCTTTACACTCAAGTCACAGCAAACTAAAACGGTAAATTATAAATGAGTGTACAACTAAAGGCCGGTACACGCGCAGTGTCAAACCGCACGTGCGTACTCAGATAGGACTAGAGGCGCCAAGGGCCAGCTAGTAAAATGTCTTCTACTACATCATACATTCTTTTTAATTGTGTCCATATCGGGTTTCAAACAAGTCAAAACAAAATAGCAGTTTGTGGTTTAGTTAGCGGATGCTACTTATCTTAGCTATTTATAAATAGAAATACCTACTACAACTACAAGAAAGCCTTTCTGATTTACATTTAACTATTATTATTAAAGAGAATTATTCGTAACTTAGACTAATTCAGTGCAACCAAAGATACCGCTCTCGCAAACGCCAAAGGTAACACGACGTAATTAAAACAGAACAGAACAAAATGTTGACACGAGCAAAGGGTGCGCGCGCACGTTGGTCTTAACACATAAGTGACGTCACAGCCCAAAATTGCTATCAGCTAATAGGAGCGTGGCGTGATATTGCACGAATTATCGATTTCACAGTCCGGCGTATTTTTTGATTCTACACACTTTCACAGGACTTAAACGCGAATATTTGGAAGTAAATTCTAAGGTCCCCTCATCCTTTAATTAACGGGTTAAAGTATATGAAATGAAATAATTTGTGCTTGTATACCGCCCATATGGTTAGCAACTGACACAAGTGCCAGGTACTAACCATGTCAGAGCGGTTCTAAAGGGTGAGGTGAAAAAAATCCAGCAACAAACAACTAAATCATCTCAAAAACAAATCTATTCAGGAAAAATTAAAACTTTAAATATATCATATAGTAATCATACTAGGAAGATTTATTGATATATATAATACCACACTACGATTAACAATAAACCACCAGAAAACACTTCAAAAGTAACATAATATACTTATGGGAATCATAGAATTACATATTCTAAACATTTTGTTGCATTAATGTAGTCTTAAACCAGTTTGTTGTCTTAATGTTGTTTTAAATGAATTTGTTGTCTTAATGTTGTCTTAAATGAGTTTGTTGTCTTAATGTTGTGTTAATGTTGTCATAATGTTGTCTTAATATTTTATCATATTTTGTTGTCTTATCGGTGTTTGTTGTCTTAATGTTGTCTTATTGTTGTCTTATTGTTGTCTTAATGTTGTCTTATTGTTGCCTTAATGTTTGCTTTAATGTTTGCTTTAATGTTGTCTTAATGTTGTCTTAACGTTGTCTTATCGTTTGTTGTCTTATTGGTGTTTGTTGCGTTAATGGTGTCTTATTGTTGTCTTATTGTTGTCTTAATGTTGTCTTATTGTTGTCTTGATGTTGTCTTATTGTTGCATCGGTGTTCGTTCAAGTGGCCAGTTAAAATATTTGTCTTGCAACTGTACCTGGCTGTTTTGCTTTCAGTTTCCCTCGATAATCTCTTATTTAAAGCCTTGCCATAGGGCCACTTTTAGTGGAGGTCTGATTCAATATAACTTAACAGCTGATAATATAATATAGACAGTAATTTTAACAAAAAGGCTAACTTTACAGAAAGAAGTAGATTGAACTGTGTTGTTGAGTTTGCTAACAATGGTCTTCCTCCACTCCCCGTACCAGAAGAATGTTATCAGCTTAGAAGACCCCTTACATACCCAGAGGTACCACTTACATACCCCTCACCTACCCCTTACACACCTCATACATAACATTGTTATATATACTTCTTACATACCCAGAAGTACCCCTTACATGATAGTACATACCCAGAGGTATCCTTACATACCCCTCACGGCTTACATACCCCTTACAAATTATAACAAAGTTTTATAGGTACAATGCAATGGTTCATCATTTGAAGTTTAATAAATATATAATAAATGAAATGTTTGCAGATCCTGGAGAAGGAACAAAAGCGGATAACAGAAGAATTGGCCGGAGGAGGAGAGGGGGGTATTGAGGAGACTAATGTTAGGGAGACTACTAGGGAGATGCTCAGTTTGTTACCAGAGGCTAACAAGATACATACTCAGAGGGTATGTTAACTTTAGCTACTTAATTATTTTAACCAATTATTCATGTGGAAATTAAAATCTGACTTCGTAAAGCTGTATCTCTTGATAAGCCATATCTAACTAAAATAGCAAGAAACATATTATACAATTCTGAAAACATGTGTATTAGACTTCCATATTTCATCCAAAATACCCTATCCTAGATGTACAACACACAGTTAGATTTTGAAGGAGGAACTCTGGCGTGGCAAGCTGAACGGATAGAACGGGAAGTGAAGGGTTACATTGACCGGTACCAGGCTCAGGAGGACAGGAATGCAGACGTAATTAATTAATTAATTAATTGATTAACACACGTGTTTCAGGGATCACGTGACCACTAGTTTAACGCACGTGTTTCAGGGATCACGTGACCACTAGTTTAACGCACGTGTTTCAGGGATCACGTGGTGAGTTAACGAAGCAATACCACAAGCTGCCTCGTAAAGGGTACCGTGTAACACTTCCTCCCTTTGCACGACCAGAAGGGCTGACAGATGAGGATTATGATAACGGTTACGAGAGACTTTACCAACAGGTTGTTAAGGAGACTGGAAAATGAGGGATATCTGTGCTTTTAGTGCTCATTGTTAGGTTACTGGTTACTAGGTTACTAGCTGGTAACTAGCTGTTTACTAGCTGGTTACTAGCTTACTAGCTGGTTTAATGCTCATTGTTTGAATGATATCTCTGTTTTTAAAGCAGTAATTGTAATTCTCAGTGTTAAGCTGTTTGAATACTTGAATATAGGCCATGGAAAGTGCGAAGATTGGTAAGATTATAATACGTAATTTGATAAATGACGATGTATTTAGGCTAAGTTATAAAGTTATAAAGTTATTATGGTCAATGATTTGGTATTGGTATTATTATAGTTTACGTTGCCGACAATTGGAATCCAATTTACAATAGTATTGAACAGTAACATGGTTGGAAGGTGAGCTACATATTTGTTTAGACCCGTGATATTGGTTCACTACCTCACCACCAGAACTATTACCTACATTCCGAACATAGTTTATTTAGTTATGTTATCATAGTACATACATGCTACATGAAAAGGTCTCCTCCTAGTCGCTGGAGTGACCCCCGTTATAAAAGGAGTGGTAGCTAAAGCTCGGTTATGTTTGCACACTATGGAGGACAGCAAGGTTAGCACTCGATAGTGGGGGATTAAGAAGTGCTGGACTTCCACAGTAAAACCCCGATTTACTGCAAACCCCGGCCCGATTTACCGCGACCATTTCCATTTCCCAAATAGGGCTTAAGGGGGGGGGGGGGGGGGGGGTTCACCGTGATTTTTTTGTGAAACTTGGTTTCGAGATAGCAGACAAACTAACAAACTAGGACCGGTGACCGAATTTTTGAGGGGGTTCCGGATGCCAACCGTCAAACGGTGCCTGCGGCCTGTGGGGCAGCCACGCCCATATTTTCTCCAAACTAGGCCCAATTTAGCCAAATACCCTGAACATGCCCAAAACCCAAATTTTAGGTGCTCTACTCGTAGCTAGTGGTCCCCTGAACTCGTATATGAAATTTCATCAAGATTGGACAAAAAATGACTGAGTTATGAGCCAAAAACCATATGACCATATTTGGGCATACGCACCAAATTTGATCGATTTCGGCCCATAAATTGGCCAAATATCAATATTTTTAACGAAACCAACTTTATATGGAAGGTAAATCTATACTACACATTCTCTATGATTATCAGCTCAGTATCTACCTAACTGTGGATTCTGTGTTCAAATTTTAGAATTTGGCCGCCAAATTTTTTTAAAGGCCTAACTCAAAATTCCATATTAAAACTTAAGGTCGAAAGGCGAGTCTACGTTGATTCTGAAAATTTCATGTAAAAATATTGCATTGAAACCCTATGGAGTTCTATTGTTTTGAGCGAAATCAGTTTTGCAAATATCGCGGACTGAGATATGGGCAATTTTGTTCATTTTTTGCAATTATTTGAACACAGAATCCACAGTTAGGTAGATACTGAGCTGATAATCATAGAGAATGTGTAGCATTATAGGCTTACCTTCCATATAAAGTTAGTTTCATTAAAAAATATTGATATTTGGCCAATTTATGGGCCAAAATCGATCAAATTTGGTGCGTATGCCCAAATATGGTCATATGGTTTTTGGCTCACAACTCAGTCATTTTTTGCCCAATCTTGATGTAATTTCATATACGAGTTCAGGGGACCACTAGCTACAAGTAGAGCACCTAAAATCTGGGTTTTGGGCATGTTCAGGGTATTTGGCTAAATTGGGCCTAATTTGGACCAAATATGGGCGTGGCTGCCCCGCGGGCACTGTTTGGCGGTTGGGGTCCCCAGTTTACCGCGGATGTATCCTTTCCCCCAAACTCTGCGGTAAATCGGGGTTTTACTGTACCTGTTTACTTGAAATTGTTTTACAGTTTTCTGCTGTTAAGTAAGTTTTATGATGATCTCGGTAATTTATTGAACTTATTTTCCTATATTTGTACGTTGTAGTTTTACTCGATTCGCTTTTTTAAAAACAAAGTAATGTGACTTGTAGCACCTTTCTTGCAAGGTCTTATTTTTTCAAGATCTTATCTTGTTCAATGTCCTATCTGACTAGGTCTTATCTTGTAAAGTTGTATCTTGTTCAAGGTGTTATCTTATTTTACTAGAATGTCACGGAGCCTGACAACACGGAAGCCTTCGAAAGAATGGGGCTTTGAATCAGACTTTGCTTCCTCCGCAAACCTTTCCACAACAGACCAGGCTAGAAGAACGGACAAACAAAGTGGAGAAGAGAAACAGTGCTGGCTTATCAAACATGCTCCCAAAACTAGGTATACCATCTAGTAGGGCCACAAAATATATTTCATGAATAATATGTACGCTTCACGTTGACTGACCGTTAAGAAAGTAAGAATTATAATGTTGGGTGGTACCTTAGTTCCCAAAAATTTGTGTGCCATTATATTGAGCACAATTTATTTGAGCCCGAAAAATTTGGGCAGAAAATTTGAACTCATTTGGGCGACCGAAAATTTGGGCACAAATTCTTCGAAAAATGAACGATTTTCCACTAAAATTTCAGTTAGATATTTGCCTTAGTGGATTATTATTCCTTATTATTCCAGTCATTTTGCTTTCAATTTTAAGCATGTAGGTGGTAGTCTTATCTGGTAGTCTTATCTGAGTTGTTTCACATTATGAAATTTACTACTAAAAAATACAGTGATGATGGCACAGTACAAAATGATAGATATACAATAGTGATATTTAGTCTCTCAATCAGATAGTTTATATTATTAGTCTACTTACACATATCTTATCATACCCCTTTCACATACAATTATCATTATGACGCCTCACCAGATGGTCGAAAGGTTTGACCAGTGTCCAGTTCTTTGAGAAAATCCTTCTTCCCCACATAGAATCAGTTCGAGCCTCCATCAACAACCCTGAGCAGAAAGCGCTACTGATATCAGATGTGTTTCGGGCCCAACACACACAGACACTAAAAGATCTGATGACAGCCAACAACTGCATCCTACAGAAAGTTCCAGCTAATATGACCCATCATCTACAGCCCCTGGACATATCTATCAATGGACTGGCTAAGAAATTCATGCGCAATAAGTACGAAGATTGGTACGCGAAAAACATAGTGTGTCAGATCAATGGAGGAGTTTCATCAGACAATGTGAAAATTGATACCCGCTTGACAGTGATCCGTGAAGTACACGCTCGTTGGATCAACGAACTTTTTGTATATTTAAAAGGGAGGCCAGATGATATAAGGAAAGGCTTTGAGAAGTCGGGTATAACTGATGCTTGTAAATCAGACTTTACGGTGGATGATAATCCATTTGCAGATCTTGTTTAAATCTCTAGCTATCCGTACCTCTAGCCATTTGTTTTATTAGTAGCTGTTAGCTATTCCAGTTATTTCTATTCATCTAAAATATAAGCCTCTTTATTTGGTCAAGCCATGAATGACAGATTAGAAAACTAAAATTTCAAATATTACTTCACTTGGATATGAAGAAAAAGCCATCTTTCTATAGATTTCAGGGCCACAGGCCAAATGCCAAAAGTTTGGTTAGCAAAAAATTTAGCAGACGGAAAAGATTTATGCAATTAATTTGGTCTGCAAAAAATTTGGGCGAGAGGCCCGCTCAAATTTTTTGTCGCCCAAATTTTTGGGAATTAAGGTATGTAAAAGAATCTGTGATGTTATCATCTTCTTTACAACCACCAGGTCGTTGAATTATCCTGAAATGTAAGTATTTTGAATGATCGTTAAATATAAAACCGAATAGGGTTTATATTTGATATTGATTTAATACTTTCCTCGAATTCAATTTCACCAATTTTGGACCTCCCGAAGTTTTGGAATTTGAACAATCTACCGTGTTCGTCAACCGCATAGATAACGTCTTCTAGTGATCGAATACCCAAAATTCTACATGGAGTTCCTACGGATATTTATAGTCGATAGCTGAAGTTCAAAGGGTGCAGGTTGTTCAGCTCGACAAAATACCGGTAGAAATTATTTCGTAGGCCCTAAAATTACTCCTCCAGATCCAGTCTTACCCTTCAATTGGACATAACTCAATAACTGAAGTAGCTCTGATACGTCCGATTAGAACTTGTAAGACTGGCCTCCAGCTCGTCATCTATTAAAATTATCATGACAAATTGACTACATGTTTTTCCTTATATTCCGCTCACTCACTGCTAAATTTTCAGGGGTGACCTTGCCATGCACAAGAAGAAGATAGAGTCACTCTCAAAAGTGTTGACTGAATCACTGACTCACAAACGACACAAGATTATAATCCTATCCGGGCCTCCTGGGGTGGGTAAATCTGCCACTGTACGAGCTTTAGCTAATGATATGAGCTGCTCTTTTGAGGTTTGTCAGGTTGATTGCTAGGTTACTGGATAATGCCTGGTTACTAGGTTACTACCCGGTTACCATGGTTACTAGGATTCATTGGGGACGGGAAGACGATTTTTCTCCAATTTGACAGTTTGACAGTTTGAACCAACAATGAGGTCATTTAACCAATGTTTAACTTAACCAATGTTTAACTTTTCCATTTATCCAGGAGTGGGTAAATCCCATAATGACTTACGAGAAAGGAATGCACTACGAGAGCGAGGTAGCAAAGTTCAGAGATTTCCTGCTGTCGTCATCTCGGTATAACTCAGTATTGGGAGATACGGATCATAGTGTAACCAAGAACCATGCCACCAGGTAAGAGATCCTATCCATTTGAGATAAATACTGTTAGATACATATAATACTGCAGATAAAGATTTGGTGTTCAAATTTGAACGTTTCGTATTTGCACTGAGCGGAACTTGTTAACTTAACCTTAGAAATTATCATTTATAGCTATGTATAGTGCTTGTAAGTGAAAGTAAAATTAATTTACAGTTTTACCAAAGTTCTTCTTTTCTTTGTTTCCAGTCAATAGTTATGAAGTACAAACTATAGCTGCAATCTGCATAGTGCATACCGTTTTTTTCTTTGCTTGCTAACATATCCCCAAGTTTGATCCGTTACCTGTTGTTAATTAATTAATTATCTAATTAGCTGTTGCCCACACAAAATCTCTAAGCTATTCATCATGACCCCAGGAAAATAGTGCTGATAGAGGAACTTACCCAACTTCTACCTCCGACAGCCTCAAGAATTCTGGGATATAATAAAGACGTATTCCCGGACAGGACTGTATCCGGTTGTGTTGATAATATCTGACAGTGTGAGCAATGTCAAGATACCCCCGGAGCACCTCAACATTCCATTCAACCCTGTTGCGGACACTCTGATGACCAAGTAAGTACGATAAGTGCGAATCCCGGTTTAAGTAAAAATGAGACATTCACAATTTTTAACAAACTTAAATGATCAATTAATGCGAAAAAAATCCTCCAGAAATACAACCCAATTAATATTAAGACAAAAAATTGTACCATTCAATACAATTGATTAAAAAAACAAAGCAGGTCACTGAGGTCACTAATCATTAAATGGGAGCAATAAAAAATCAAGGAGTTTATATATTATATTCTATCGATGACTCAAGAATAAATCTGAAGACTGAAATGAATTAAAAATGAATTTGAAATGCAAGTGGTCAGTTTTCAATACTATTTTCACTTCTCATTGTAATTCACATATTCCTAAGATATCTGTCTCCGATGAATTTCAACCCCCATGGTTTGACTCAGATGTCTTTGATTTATGTAGAAAAAAGGAGCGACTACATGACGAATGGAAACAGTCTTCTAATCCAAAAAAATATTTAAAATTTTCCAAAGCTAGGAGGGATTTTAAAAATCTCGTTGATGCAAAATTGGACGCAAACTTTGAAGATGATGATAACAGAAATCTCATTAACAAAAAGTTCTGGTCTTTTGTGAAATCTAAATCAAACTCTAATCGCATTCCTGAAACAGTCAGCTACAATGGTTGCCTACGGTCCGATCCGCAAGGACAGTGTGAGTTATTCAATAAATATTTTAACGAACAGTTTACAGAGGGTAGTGATTATGATATAGATATCGACTTTTCCAGTGACCGTGATTTTCAGGTCAATTTCGACACTTAGTACAGACAGATCCGTCTGAAAAAATCGATCTGCCGACACACAAAGCTTACAAAGGATTTTTGACGTTTTTGAGTCCTAATAGATATCCTTTATGGCTGACCAACTTTTCCAAACTTTTCCACGTGTCTTAAGGCCACTTTTTGCCACTTTACCACTTTTTACCACCTTTCTTGTTTGTCGAATATCTTTAGTTGTGAACATCGTAAAAGGTTTCGGATCAATCGAGTGTGTTCATATTACCATGAAGAAAAACTTTTGTTCTAACAATTTTTACGTCAGATTATCAGTTAATTGGATAATTATCAATTAGCTAATTAGCAAAATTCTAAAAAATTTTTATTGGCTCAAAATGATCGGAATAGCTTAAAACACGGAGAAAAGTAGTTTTAGAAAAACTTTGAAAATTTTTCACTTACATTTTTTTTCGAGACTTGGAAAAATTTCGAAAATTTAAAATATTTTTTTCCGCCAAAAGTGATCAAATCGCATGAAACGCGGAGAAAAATGCTTTTCAAAAAAACTTAGTGAATTTTTCCTTTCAAGAATACTTAAATCACCAATATTTGTAGTTGGAGTTCAGTAAATCGCGGCAGATTTTAATAATCAGGAATTACTAAGTGGAAAGGTCTGAAACTGAAAAACGTTAACCATACGATATAAGAGTTTCATAACTAATTACAATACAGCCTTATCAATTTTCACAGAAACTGCACCAATGGCACAGTCAAGATCGAAAGACGAAACGATAGCCTGCTGTACTATCATTTTATTGATTTCAATGATGAATCAGTGGGGTTAAGATAATCACATTTGTAATAAATAAAACCTCTCTGTACCGTCAATTGTGCTAATCTAAACCGGCCTACCTGGATTACCAGACCTCTTCTTTTCCTCAACAATCAAGCCAAGTTGTTCATATAGCATTTGGTGGGCGATGTAAGTACATTATATCGAGCTGTATTCAATCACAATACGACACAATGCAATACGTGTATATTATATTATGGCCCTTAATGAGGTATATGAAACGTTCTATACCGTACACTTCTCGTTTCTCCCGTGAGAGGCCCGGTATGGAGAGGTTTTACAGTTTATCACGAAAACGTCTACTTAGCCTCATGACTCTTTGACAGCTCAAAGAAGGCAAGAAAAGACCAGAAAGCTTAAAATGTCAACTCGCTCTTTTCAATGCTCTTCGATCTGTCCCACATTAATCCCGAGCTGATCATCATGGGCCCCGAATATCCTGCGGGAAGAACCTGTATTTTTACTTCACAACGTCCAGATTTCAAATCAACATCCTCAATAACATTAACAATCCTTCCTGATCAGGATCTGTCTCTATTAGCAATTTCCAAAATATCCTGACTCTCGTGGAACATTTTACTGAATGAATTATTACCGGTTCTTTACTACCCCTTTCCCGACGCTCGTATCTAAATCTTATCCTTGCCCGTATGTTACCCTTGTTGATTTTACTTTTAGCCGACCCTGACATATGGGGGTGATTTTATACCGCATAGCAAATGAAGCGGTATGCAGTACAATACAAAACAAGTCACAGTAGATGTTGGAAGGTGTATTTACACTTGCTTCCTGGATCTGGCTGTTCCTTAGTTTCCCTGGTCTGTTCTTGCCTTCTTCGAACTGTAAATGAGCCATGATGCCAAGTATACGTTTTCGTGATAAACTGTAAAACGTCTCTATACCGGGTTTCTCACGGTTTTAAGCGTTTCATAAACCTCATTAAGAGCCATATAATATACACGTATTGTGTCGTATTGTGATTGAATACAGCTCGATAAGTACTTACATCGCCCACCAAATGCTATATGAACAACTTGGTTTGATTGTTGAGGAAAAGAAGAGGTCTGGTAATCCAGGTAGGCCGGTTTAGATTAGCACAATTGACGGTACAGAGAGGTTTTATTTATTACAAATGTGATTATCTTAACCCCACTGATTCATCATTGAAATCAATAAAATGATAGTACAGCAGGCTATCGTTTCGTCTTTCGATCTTGACTGTGCCATTGGTGCAGTTTCTGTGAAAATTGATAAGGCTGTATTGTAATTAGTTATGAAACTCTTATATAGTTATATCGTATGGTTAACGTTTTTCAGTTTCAGACCTTTCCACTTAGTAATTCCTGATTATTAAATTCTGCCGCGATTTACTGAACTCCAACTACAAATATTGGTGATTTAAGTATTCTTGAAACGAAAAATTCACTAAGTTTTTTTGAAAAGCATTTTTCTCCGCGTTTCATGCGATTTGATCTCTTTTGGCGGAAAAAAATATTTTAAATTTTCGAAATTTTTCCAAGTCTCGAAAAAAAATGTAAGTGAAAAATTTTCAAAGTTTTTCTAAAAACTACTTTTCTCCGTGTTTTAAGCTATTCCGATCATTTTGAGCCAATAAAATTTTTTTAGAATTTGCTAATTAGCTAATTGATAATTATCCAATTAACTGATAATCTGACGTAAAAATTGTTAGAACAAAAGTTTTTCTTCATGGTAATATGAACACACTCGATTGATCCGCAACCTTTTACGATGTTCACAACTAAAGATATTCGACAAACAAGAAAGGTGGTAAAAAGTGGTAAAGTGGCAAAAAGTGGCCTTAAGACACGTGGAAAAGTTTGGAAAAGTTGGTCAGCCATAAAGGACATCTATTAGGACTCAAAAACGTCAAAAATCCTTTGTAAGCTTTGTGTGTCGGCAGATCGATTTTTTCAGACGGATCTGTCTGTACTAACTTGTAAAATCAAAGGTTTACTTGAAAATATTGATCCAAGTAAAGCGCAAGGGGCCGACAATATCCATGGAAGAATTTTAAAGTACTGTTCAGTGAGCCTGTCTAAGCCTCTTGCTATCCTTTTTGAAGCCTCTTATAAAACTGGATGTATTCCAGCAGATTGGAAAATGGCAAACGTTGTTCCAGTTCATAAAAAAGGCTCTAAAATTGAAGTTAACAACTATAGGCCAATTTCTCTGACAAGCATTATTATGAAAATTTACGAAAAAGTAATCCGGGATGAATTGCTCAATCGATGTGAACATCTTATTGATCAACGTCAACATGGTTTTATGAGTAGGAAATCATGTACAACTCAGCTAGTAAATTTCTGTGACAGCTTAGCCCTATCTCTCAATGACAATGTTCGCACTGACATAATATACTTTGATTTCCAAAAAGCTTTTGATTCTGTCAACCACGACATAATTCTGTTGAAGCTCAAAGAACAATATAACATTGATGCATCTCTACTGAGATTCTTCAAGTGCTACCTTGAAAACAGATACCAAAGGGTTGTCATTGGAAATAAAATGTCTGCTCCCTGTCAGGTTAGATCAGGTGTCCCCCAGGGCTCAATTTTAGGGCCTACTTTATTTATACTTTTTCTTAATGACATTACAGAGGATTTGTCACCGGAAACAAATATAACCATGTATGCTGATGATACAAAAATATGGCGTAGAATCACGTCCCAGGATGACCATTGGCTGCTCCAGCGGGATATTAACAGTCTTCAAAATTGGGCTCATCATAATAAGATGGTGTTTCACCCTTCAAAAAGTCACGTTCTTTCTATTACCCGAGCATATTCCATGAATCGTAGTGTTAATTTTGTGTACTCAATGAATGAAACGGCTATCGAATTCACAGACATTGAAAAAGATCTTGGAGTACATATCAATAGTAAGTTAGATTGGTCACATCACTGTGATATGATATACTCTAAGGCTAGTCAGAGGTTAGGCCTTCTAAAAAGAACATGTTACTTCACCAAGAACACTAAAAAACGTCGGGCCTTCTATCTATCTCAGGTTAGAAGTCATTTCGAACACTGCACAATTGTCTGGCGGCCTCATTCAGAAACCTCGGTGGAGAAACTTGAATCGATACAAAAAAGAGGTATCAAGTGGATCCTTAATGATATTTACTTGAGCCTTAGGGACAAAAAAAGGTATTTCATAGCGTGTAAGGAACTAAATATCCTTCCACTCTCGGTAAGGTTTGATTACAAGGATATATTATATTTTCACAATATTTTTTATGACATGTCAGTTGTGACATTTCCACCTTACTTACGACGTTTCATGGGAAGTAGGTTAAGGCGATCACATCTAGACGATCTCAGTATGATTAGTGACATTTCTCCAAGACATTTCTAGTGACAAGTCTTACTTTTACAGAGCACACATTCTTTGGAATAAA